AGGTTTAATTTTTGACTCCCAATAGATATTTGGAGTCTAAAATATTTTTTTTTTCTCAACTTGCTAGGGGGTGTTTTAAATTTCAGTCAGCAGAAGTATTATGTTAGCATGGACTCATTTGGGTCAATTCATTTTGAGGAAGTAATAAATAAGTAAACTATTTGGTTAAAATTCGGAAACAAAACAATTTGTTCTTGTCATCTGGTGGAGCTTAAATTATGAAAAATAGCTCTCTAAACGTTTAACTAATCCAAGAATCTAGTTCGAGGTGGTTGCTGGCTTTATTCCATGATGTTGTGCATAAGCCCTGAAATTTGCTGAAAACCTCTGCGTTTGAATGTGAACTACATTCTAAGATGATGTTTAATAATTTTTATTAAATCATTTAGACAGAAGGATAATAGGGAAATAAGACATTATAACCTGTGCCTCTGGCAGTTAGCTTATGTGCCACAGTTTTAATGAAAGTATTCAGTGATATTGGGACACCTATGAACTCTCTGGAGGAGGAATTGAGGGAGTTTTGAGTAAGGACAGGCAAGTTTCTCTCTCTCTTTGTATCTCACTGATCAACAGAGGGGGACTGTTTTAAGTGTCTGGAATACTTAATTCTCACTTATTTTGAAAACTGGAGTATTTTAGTTCACGTAGGAGTGAGATCCAAGTATAATACAGCAATTTTCACATAGAGCAGGTCAGAATGACTGTCTTAGTTGCGTCATCTTCTCGCCACAGATAAGTTGAAGGATGACAGCTTGCTCCCTGTGGTTGGGTGCAGATATTATTCATCATTGTTTCTTGAACACAGCACAGAGAAGGTCACCAGTGTAATTCTTGTGTGAATGGAATATGGCCCCCTTTGCTGATTCTGTGACCCAGAAACCTTCCTGCACAAAGTCTAGGTGGGATGTAAGAAAGGGGACATGATTAAACAAGGAATTCAGCTGAGACTTTGCCTCTTCTCCTTTAATTCTTCCCACTTAAGGTATTTACTGTATTTATAAAATTTATCCTCTTATTTTCTTTAGCACAGAGTTCATTTTAACCAAAAGCTCATCTCTATAAAAACATCAGATCATAGAATTTGGTTGATTCAGTGTATAATTCCCCTTCCTAGAATTGTTTTTTATCCCATTCCTTTAACGATTGACTCTGGATGTATTTTGGTAATTCAGCTATTTGAATTACTCTACTGATTTAGTTCAACATTGCAGCACCTCTTAGTATATATTTTCCTGTAGTAGAGAAGATGGCTATTAAAAAAAGAAGATGGCTATAAATAAAAATTATTTATTTTTATTTATAAAAAATCACCCAATTATGATTTTTCTCAAATTTTAATAACTTCTGAGCCAAATAATTCTGAAACAGTATAAACAAAATCCCAAATAAATCCTTACAATTTTCTATAAGAACATATGATGAACTGGGGCTGGAAAAATATTTTAAATGGCTGAAAAATCAAATGCTCTATGAAAGTTTGCATTTATTTTAGTGACGTTTTACCCTGGAAGAGCACTGTATTGATTGAATAATGCCAGTTTATAGTTTCTTCAAATCCTGATTTCCTATGTCAATTTATCCTTAATATTTTTCTGTTATGTGTAATAAATGGATAATGTGCATTCTGCATAAGAAAAGTTTGTAGCTTGAAGATGTGAAGGTATATTTATGATAGTGAGGTTAACAAAATGTTCCTAAACCAAAAGGAGCCTTGTCATGAGACACTGGACATATCCAGTTGCATCCACTGTCTGTCATCTTCTTAACCTGAGCACACACAGTTGATTAAGTGCTTTATCATTTTAATGTTTTCTGTAAAACACATTCATTCTTTTTGCATTTATGTTTTGACCATGTGAGAAATGAACATTGTATTAAGAAAGAGCTATTTTAAAACAGATATATAAACAGAGATATAGAATACCAGTTACATGAAGGAATATGGATAGTTTACCATATAGTATGATTTTATGTCTAATTTAAACATAGATGCACATATATTAATTGTATTATACATATTTTATGTAGTGTATATATATATGTGTATACATCCAAATTATATTTAGATATATTTGTGCTATCTGCATTTTTAAGTTGTCTTTAAAAAATCAAATTGTATAATTGTGTCATCCTAAACCCAGAAAGTGTTGTGTGAACTTTAAATAAACTTTGGAATATACCTTTTCGACAACAGGTTTAGCAATATACAGATTCTGAAAGAGAAATTAGGCAACAGAGTTTTGTATAAAATGTATTCTCAAAGTTAGATTTTATTAATTTTAATTTTAATTTCAGTTGATCTTAACCAAATGAAAATACTGAGATGGAATGGATACTATCATTTTCTTTTCTATTTGTTTCTTTATTATTTTCTTTTGTAATAGTGGGGATTGAATCCAGGATCACACATACTAGGCAAGTGCTCAACCACTAAGCCACATGCCCAACCCAATAATAGCATTTCTTTATCACACTTGTAACCTCTTTCAACAGACTATGAGGAACTCTTAATCTTCAGTTTAATAAGTACTCTTCATATGGTCATATATAGGAGAAAAGCTGACCTGTCAGTTTTATCTATTAGTTCTAGCACTGTGAGCCAAGTGTAATCATAGGACAAACCCAGGTTGTCTTATGTAAATGATCTATAGCCATTTTTTTTTTTTTTTTACCTAGGAAGTAGGAGTAGATGCATTTATCTTATGTGCCTTTCTTGGCATAGTGATGTGTGTATAAGTGAATTTGTATCTTTTGAAAAGGTGATGCTGGTGAACTGCTTGAAATATACTGTTATTTCACCTTGTTTTCTTCATGTTCTAGTTCTGTAAATATAAGCAAGCATTTTGGAAGAAAATAAAGTAAAAAATGAAGATAAACTTATTCAGTCGTACAACTTTTGTTGGAATCTATATTCTAAACTGAAAATTGCTTCCTAAGTATAAATTACAGAGTTGCAAGTGGGATCAATAAACTAGTAATTAGGTTAGGGTCCCAGGTGGATTTAGATAATTTTCTTGGTTTGTGTATGTGATGAGTTCTGATTTGGTATTTTGACTCTTGACTCCTGTTACAAAATAAGTGGAATGAGAAATATTTCAGGAATTAGAATTTTTGTGCATATTAAAATACTCTAGTTATGTACTTCCTCTTTTTTTAAAATTTTTTGATTTTAAGGATTGAACCCAGGTGTGCTTTACCACTGAGCTGTAACTCTAGCCTTTAGGTTTTACATTGAGACAGGGCTTCACTAAGTTATGAGGCTATCCTGGAACTTGCAATCCTCTTGCTTCAGCTTCTTGAGTTGCTGGGGTTATAGGCAGGTGCCACCGTGTCCAGTTCTAGCTACTTTATTCTTTACCAAAAAAAAAAAAAAAATCAAACTAAATTGTACATTGTTTTCATGTGTATCTATAAAGTACTATTTTAAAAAAAACCTATAAATGAAAAGAAGGAAGAGCAGTAGAAAAGAGGAAAGGTAACAGGGAGTAGGAGGAGTGGAGAGTAAGGGGTGTACTGGGGATTGAATTGGAGTAAATTATATTTTATGCTAATTATGTCAAAATCAACTCAAATATCATGTATAACTATAATGCACTAATTTTTAAAAGGAAAAAAAGCGATTCTAATGGAATTCTAGTTCTTCAGTTTCATTTAGTATTATGAATCATATTTTCTAATATTCATATAGATCTTCTTTGTTCTTTAGAGAAACCTATATTTTATTTATCTTGAGTCTCATGGAGTATTTTTCAAATAAAAAGGGCTGGGACTGACTTCTGTATCAAACAAATTGGGAAACAAAGCAAAACATATTTTTCTCTTAGAGATTTATAAGTACAGTCATGTACTGAAGCTTTGTGGAGTCCTGCCCTCAAGTGACAATTGTTGATGTTTTCTAATGCCATGACTATTAAATAATTTTTCCATGACATCTAGTAATAAGGAGCGATTTTTAAAATATACTTTGAGATATATTTACTAAGTTTTCCCTAAGTTTTCTTTTCTTAAAAAAATCTATATTTTGTGTCTACTTCTAATATAATTTTAGAATATTGGTGTTGGTGGATATTTAAGAGGTAGAGGAAAACATTCTTACTGAGTGTTCAGATTACTGCCAAAGACAGGGACTGCATCTACGTCTAGATGAAAAAGGGAAACCAGCATAGGTGTTTTGTTCTTGTGATGCATACACTGGTCTCAGACCCAAGAATAGGAATTTAAAGTTTTTCGACAATCATTTTATTCATCCTACCTTTTCCATTGTCCCTCTGTAGCTCCATTTGTAGCCCTAATTCATGTTTATGGTATATTTCTGCAATACTTATTTGCAAAATTGCCCATTCATATTTATTCTTGCTGAAAATCCAATGTCATTTCACCTCTTAGATTCAATATGAGAGTTGCAGTGCCTTGATAAACGTATTTGTTTGCTATCTAGATCCAGATTCAATATGAGAGTTGCAGTGCCTTGGATAAACAGATTTTTTTTTTTTTTTTTTTTTGCTATCTAGATCCAGTTGCTTTTGATTCCTTTCTAAATCTCATGAGGAAATTTCTACCAATATTGCTTAGATAACACATTTTTCAAGAATCAATTTAATACTGGAGATGTAAATATATTTATGTATGTATTTTTTAAATCATAGTTTTAACAGAATGTTATTAAGGTGCTTGTATTACCTGCTTCTGAAGTTATCCTGTTTTTTCTTAATATAGGTGTGTGTTTATCCATGATGTCAATAATGCATTTGACACACGATTCCAGTACTATACTGAGGTTTTTTTCTCAAATGCAAGGTGTGATTTTTTAACACCACTGATATACAGTTTTAATCTGTTCTTATAAACATTGACTGATCTTTATGGATTTCTGTGGAATATACTGAGAAAGGAATATTATGGGAAGTTTATTGTTTAAAACATGCTTAAAATATTTATAGTGTTTGATCCAGTATTCTGTTTTATTCTACTCAGTAAAGCACTCTTCTTTCTTGTAGAGCAATGAAGTTGTCTACTACAATGCCAAGGATGATCTTGATGTGAGTATTAAAAGTTTTACATTCAGTTCTTAATTAAAATTACTGCATTTAGAGAGCAAATTGAGCTTGGTAGGTTTAGTTTTTAAGAAAACATTATACAGCATGAACAAAATTTTAGTTCTAGCAAGGTAATGATGAATTTTAGTGTTTATGTGATTTTTTGTTTTTACTAGCTGTTACTGGCATTTTCCTAAGTAGAAATCCATGTTTTTCTCTGGGTCTAAACTCCCACTGTACTCTGTCTATATCTCAATCACGACATTGCCTTGAATACTCTGCATCCTATTGGTAATGCTGAATACAAAGATCAGATCCCATTCATCTCTGCTTCCTGGCTCCTGTCACCAGGGCTACCTTACCTTTTTCTTGTGTGAACTGCCTACATTATTGGGAATGTTTTATTTCAACCATAATGTGAAAGATACTCCAGAAGCTGTGTAACTGGCCCCGCTTGTCCAGTCTTTGAAACATAAAGGGTACATATTAGGTATTTATTTATTTATTTATTTATTTATTTATTTATTTTTCTCCTCTGCTAGGCAAGTGCTCTACCACTAAGCTATACTGACAGCCTCATCCTTAGGATTTTTTAAATGAATGACTCTAATTTACATTTTCAAATTATTTGTGAAAATGAATTATTTCAGCACTAATTAATTACTTATAATATTGTCACTTCTGGATAATCATTGAGGAGACATTTTAATTAGTTATGGTGGAAACACTTCAAAATTACAAAATAAAGTATACAATTATGTTTTTAAATTTACATGTTTGATCACTTGCAAAAGAATATATCTAGATACAGTTATTTATCCAAAAGCATTTGTCATAGCCTTCCTGTATTTTAAGTACTCACCTGAGGACTTGGGCTACATTAGTGAACAAAATAAAAATGAATATAATTAAATTATTAGTGTGATTCAGACATTTTTTTAAAATCTGAATTTAAAAAATTTTCTGTACTGTTTTATGACATTTTTCTCCCAACGACTTCAGGGGAATATAGAGAAAAAAATAAGTAGAGCTGGTCTGCAAAAAATTTTGGAAAACACAGAAAATAAATTTTGCTGAAATGTCACAGCTTCTCAGATTGCACCACTGCTGCTAATACTTCTGAATAACTGTGCACTAAATTTGCCTGCATACTGCAAACCATCTTACACAAATTATCTTAATTCTTACAACAAAAATGTGGATGAAGTTGTTTTATCTGTAGATGTGGAACTGTTGTTTATAAAGTTATTTTCTTTACTCCAGATGTAGATAGTTTGTTAGTGATATGTTTTCTCTTATGAAGAGTGCATGTGTCATTTTCATGTTGTAGAGGCTTATTATAGATAAGCTGTCATCTAACACAAAATGTTTTAATAGTATATTGATTGGTGTCAAAATAAATACATTTTTAGAGTGTTTATTTCATCATCAAAATTAGTACTTACTATTTGAAAATTATATGGTCATTGAAAATTCATGTAAAATCGTCAAGTCTTTCTGGCTATTATAAATTGCAACTTCTGTTCAACATTTAGTTTGTGGAATTATGATAGATTTTTTAATATGCAAACTTCCAAGTAAGTGTTGCCTCATGATAATGATATAGAAAATGCATTTTTCTACACTAAAATAAGTTATATTTTTTATATCAACAGAGTAGTTTATTCACTTCTCAGTTTTTCTTATAAACTAGGAAGTTATTTTCCTTTTACAGAAAGAAATGTGCCATTTTTTCTAAGATTCTAATAATCATGCACAAATCTAGACATGACTTTTTAGTAAGTACTACCCCATTTTCAATCACAATACTTTAAAACATATGTGCCCATTGCAGGTAGAATTGGACAGTTATGTATATAGAACAGTTGAATTGTACATAGTGTTTTCTTGCATAGTTTACCTACAGAAATATTCATTTAGATGTTCAAATAACAGTCTGAGAAATGAATTCATGGAAGTGAACCTATTGAATATACGATGTATTTTTGTCTTTTCTCATCTAAAAAATATGGATAATACTACTGTGAGTTAGAATTTTGTGTATAAAAATTATACATTCTCTTTTCTTAGGCCCAAGATGAAATGTAGAAGAGTTAACCAAAACTTTTATGAATAGGAAATGTCACCTTTTAAATTTCAAACTTAAAAATCTTTGCAAGCATTTGTAGAATTTTTCAATGTTTCATATACAAATAGTAAGAATGCCAAAATAATTTGTAAACTATTATGTAGTAAGAACTAGAATAGGAATTGGAGACTAATTCATGTACTAGAATAGTCCTAAAACTGTGGTTGCCCATAGGCATTAAATTTTTATAATACTTGACCATTTTTTTTCCATCCAAAGCAAGATACAGCAGTGCAGATGATCTCTAAAGTTGACTCCAGTGTTAAACATTCTGAGTTCAAGAGCTAAGAGGGCAACTTACAGTCATGCAATCCCTGAGGTCCTTATTTTAGTTTTCTGCTGTCCTTTTCAATGTTTGTGGTCAACACTGATGCTCCTATGTCTACAATGTTTTTGTTATTATTATTATTATTATTTTGTTTGGGAAATTTTGTTTTGATTTGCATTTTGAATAATGAGGAGGTAAGTGGGAAGGAAGGACAAGTCTTTTGCCCTCAAGAGCATGCTCTGGAGATTGCACCTCGACACTTCTTTCTGCACCTTCTACAACTTAGTGACCATCTAATAGCAAGAGGATGTAGAGGATAATTTTCCCTTACTTGGATGGCCATGGGTACCCAAGTAAAATATAGAGGTTTGTTACTTAAGGGAGAAGGGGTGCGGGTGGTAGTGATTGGAATATACTTACCAATTTCTGTACATACCTTCAATTTGCTTTTCCTGAGATATTTAAGTTAATGCTAACACTTCACTCACTCATCTAAATGACTTTTGTTATTTAAATATATTCAAACCTTTAATTAGAGAAAAAATTCTCTTACCTTGAAATAGATTTTATGTATTTTCTAGTTTCTCCCACTTCATGTTTTGATCACTATGATCAAACTGTTTTCTGAAATTTATTTATTTTACAGTGAAAAGAATTTAAATTTTATAAGGAAATGTTGCACTTGATATTCTACTTCAGAATTTTCTGTGTTTACAATTTTTTCCAAAGGTTATTACTTATCTGGAGAAGTGGGACTTACATGAATGATGAAGTTGGTTTGTTCTCACCAAAACTTTTGCCATATAGGCAAGTTTAATTGGCTGCTCTAATCCTAGATTTGTATATGTATTTTTTGATATTTTTATATTTCAGGTGTTCACAAATCATAATGCCATCACATAGGTTTAGTTTGATTTTGGTTCATCATTCCCTGTTCTTCACCCTGGCTTTTCTGCTTATGTATTTAGTTATGTACTTTTATTTTTCTGATTATATAATGTTATATCCTTTATTAAAAATTGGTGACTTAAGAGTGTATAATGTGAATGTATCATCTCATAAATGAAAATCTAACATCTAACTAAGCAATGGAACTAATTGGAATACTAAATATTGAAACAATCTTGTCAATTAGTAAATTTGACCTTAATATAGTTCAGTGGTGATATAAGTATCAGAGAACAAAATTTTATTTAAAATGTTATGCAACCTGAATTAGACTAAAAGATTATAAATCCTGAAGTTGTCTTTTTTTTTTGTATTTTGTTTTTACTGTTTTACTTTCCCCAAGAATTTTGCATTAGCAGAATCTAATTTATTTTATAACTCCCATGACTAGGAGAGTATCTATCATTGTCTCCATACCTTTACATAAAGCATTTTCTTTCCTTCTCTAAGACCATCATCCAAGTTTAGACCCTGTTCTCAAATATGTATATTTGAGTTAGCGTAATAATCTAATGTTTCTACTTTTTATATCTATCTTCAATCTCATAATTATTATTAATATGTAAATATACCTAAACATTATATTTATAATCCTTCCATTGTCTAGAACTTAAAATAATTAATTTCTTTGTATGGTATATAAGACCCTGCAAAAAGCTCACTAGAAACTTTCCTAAGCAGATCCAACTTTTGGTGCTGAAATGGTATTTTATGCTTGGAGGCACAATTGATCTTTGTAAGTTATTCCCTTGTCATCTCTCTGTACCAAATAAGTTTCCTGAGGGCATTTCTTGTGTATTTACAGCAGCTGACATAGCTCTTATACTGTCTAACACATGGTAGCCACCCAGTAAAGTTTTCTTTCTCAACAAATTAGTGAGTTGAAGTTGAAGTTTGAATTTGCATGTTGTGAAATAGCCTAAGAATATCTTCTCTCCTGCAGACCTTGTTTTGTTTTAAGCACTGCTTTTCATTACCACCACCAACCTCAGCCCAGACCTGTGAGGGGCTCTGTAGTTTACAGGATTGGAATTTAAACATATGCTATGAAGAAAATACTTGCTCTTAATGAATGACAATTGTTGGCCAAGAACTGTATCAAATATTTTATATCATTCTTTGATTTCTAGTTATAGTATGAAAAGGCAAGCAGCAAAGATGAATGCTTGGGCAAAATAACAAAACAACCAAGGGTATCATCTGTCCCTTTCCCAGTCCTGAATTAGGTAGCTGTTTCTTCATTTTAGACTAATAAAACAGGAAATATTCAAGGGGTGGAATACACAAAAGATTTAGTAAACTAGAAATGGCATATGTAGCATTAAAGACAGAGAGCCATGGGCTGGAGTTGTGGCTCAGTGGTAGAGAGCTTGCCTAGCATGTGTGAGGCACGAGGTTTGATTCTAAGTGCTGCATATAAATAAAATGAATAAAATAAAAGTCCAACAACATCTAAAAAATTTTTTAAAAAACATTAAAAAAAGACACAGAGACAGGATAGTCTCTGAGATACTTATTTCAGCTACTTCAGTAAAAAGAAAAACAACATTAAATATATTCTTCCTGTCCCAAATGATTGAGCAAGTGATTTATAAAAATCCTACATATAAACAAAAACTGCTAAAACAAAATTCTCTTTGGAAGAAGAAATTCCACAGT